GAACAAAAATTAAACTTCTACTTTTAAACTGACCTGCAAAAGTTGTCATCCTCAAATTTACATTTTCAGATTACAAACAGAAGTGTAATCTAAAAATCTGTATTATGCCTCAGTGTATTATACCGGAAATTTATGCAAACATTACTCTCTGTGGGTCGGTCAGACGGTTTACAACAAAGTATATTCTTGAGTTCGAATGGCCTAGTCAAAGTTTGGCTCTAAATCTAACTCAGAATTAGTTTCAACTTTCATGGTATCTAAAATAATACAGGAATGTTTGCAGATGTAAGATGAAAACATATTTTAATACATATAAAAACAGGAAAATTGGTGTGGCGTAAGAACAAATTCCAGATTTAAAAGAATGATTCATGACGCTTCATTAAGTTTGAGTTGTGAGGACAAAACCCTTCAAGCAGTTCATCAAAATTTGCTTTCATTCAGAGCCGAATAATGAGACTTGTAAGCTCAGAGTCGCTCCGTTGGGAAACAGTTCAGAACTGCTGGGGGGAAAGGACAAGAGGAAGATATCGCTAAACAAATTCTGATTTAATTCCTCGTCGCTCTGATCTGAGGTTAAACAGATCCACTAATCTCTCGCTTGTTCATTTGAGGCTGTGAATCCATGTGTGGATTACTTGGAGCGCTCAAGCAAAATGTCTTCAAATGTCAACCCACTAAAAACACAAGCGATAACCAAATGCTGGCACTTGTCCATGCATGTGTTGGCGTTCAGATTTCTTGTCACAAGAAGAAATATGGAAGAAGGTCCTGTCGATGAATCAACACGCAATATTGGAACCATAATTCTCAGACACTCCAAAGAGACACAGAGGCAGCAGAGCATTGATGCATCGACTCTTACATGGGCAGCCGCTCAGACGGTTACATAATCGAGGTTTTTTATCCAGACTCACGTCCCCCTGCTGGGATGTTAGCTGGGAGCGGATAATGAAAAGCCAGAACAGATGTCCACTGAGATCTATGACCAGGTCCAGGCTTGTATCAGCAACCCCTCCCGCCTCCTGTCATGATGCTGATGTTGCAATAAAGCAGCGGCCCACTCTTGAACGGCGGAGGGGGGCAAAGCAGTTGCAGTCAAGAGACAAAGACTACGAGGAAACTGCATTAACGACGCTCCCCTTGGAGTTTTAAAAATGGAAACAATGGAAGGCCCGTGTTATTGCCCGTGCTCTCGATGAGCTCTCTCCAAAGCGCTTTCGACAGTTCGCAGCAGTGCGAACATGTTTTTGTTATTAGACGGTTAAAACGGCGCTCTTTGGGAGATCCTTAAGAGATGCGGAAGTCATCATACATAAAACAGCAATTTCACAGAGGAGTATTCTGAGGTGAAGTTGTGATATGTGAAAGAAAAAAAGCGGTAGGACTGGTTTCATCTCTGTGGATACCACACAGAGCTAGCCAACACCTTTCCTCGTTTTCCATTACCTGCATGCCACGTCCTTCTGCTCAGCTCTCTGCTTCATGGAATTGTATTAGATTTCTGTGCTTTGCTGACCAAAAGTGACATATTCATAAAAAAAAAAATCCAGAAATACAGCTGAATATTAGTTTTGCCTACATCCAACTAAGAATCTGACTACCTCTGATAAATGGCTGCAATGTAATGTAATCTACTAAATGTTTGGTTGAATGGAAGCAGATGGAATAACAAATATTTCAAGCCAACTAACTCTACAAATATACATTTTGAAATATCCCTGGAGAATAACAACACATGTAGCAGATGACTAAAGCATAAGGAAAACTGCACACGGGTTTTACTGTTCCACTGTCATGGTGGTGAAATTGTCATGTCAATTCCACATACTGTGCAAACAGGAATGTTCAAATTGCAATATAATGCATCAAAATCTGTGGTTGTAATATAAAAAACTTGAATAGTTTAGGTGGTGTGAATATATTTTCAAAACACTGTCCATTAGTAAAAAAAAAAAAAAGTTTTTCATGCCTGATAATGTTATATAGCTACAAAGCATTTAATTAAAATTGCTTTTTGATTCAATGGTAAAGAAAAATTTGCTTTTAAAACTTTTAAATGCCTGAGTACTAAGTGAAAATAATTAATATTGAGGGTCACCTTTGAAATATTTACTGTAGGAATTTGTAAAGAAGGTTTTAACAACTGGTGCAGTAAAGACAAAAGCCTTTCATTTCTGAGCTTATAAGACACAATCTGTCAAAAAAACACTATTATTTACAGTTTCAAAGCTTTTCTAAATTATAATAATGGTATTCAGTCCTCTCAGAAACTAATGGAATTACAAGGACTTTTTTTTTTTAATTCGGCAGCACTCCAAGTTTGTGTTTGACACAGGATGACTGCAAAACAAGACATTTCAGCTGTTATGTGTACGCAAGGGCTCATCTCTTAAAAATGTAAGCGTTTTAGTGAAAACATCTCAGAAGAACCAAGTAGAGAGGAAAAGCAGAAAATAAATATTGCCAGCGTTAGTAATGTTATGCCACTAAGATGTGCAGCTTTAGATTGTAAATGTCTGAAAACAAAATCATCACCTCTATTCATCAATATACAATTTTTCTGATTTAGAATAGTTTCTGTCATTGAGCTTTCAATCTGCTGCAAACATAGATGGATGTTTTTAGCTTTAAAGACATTTAAACTTCTTGAGAGAGGTATTGAGACATTGCTTCAATATTCAAATATTGAAGTTCTTTCCTCATTTCAGTTATTTTATGAAGTGCACCAATCCCAACATCCACAACATGAACACGCCTGTGTGCTTCAGACTGGATTGTGTTCTTAAGCTTCCAAACTTCTCTCTCGTCTCCTAAATGTAGAAGTTGTCATTGTGGTAAAAAGAAACCTCAATTTTATTTTCATCAAATATGTCTCCAAATACTAAGCTCTTTGTCCGAACTGCACTGGGAGACATTCCTACAGATATTAAGATTTTTGTCCGATCTACAATCTGGCCTTTATGTACTCTCTGAGTACAAACTCAGCATTCAGTTAAATATTAAAATGTTTAAAAGGTACTACCATTTAAATAAACGAAAAACATAAAAGAACATTTTAGTACAAAAAAAAACTGTGTAATATCCATGTGGAATTTGATTAAGATCAGTCTAAAACAATATTCTTACTAAAGAAAGATAATTATTTCTCTATTTTCTCCCAGAAACATTGAAAGTATAAAACATCTTCAGCAAGTTTGTTAGGATGCTTTCCACCAAACATGTAGTGCTCTTTAGTGATGACAGTCCACAGCACAGACTGGACGCTTTATTAAATAAGACTTCCTCTCCCCAGAGGCCCTCCTCGAAGGAGATTAAGGTGATAGAGTGCAGATAAAGACAGACGCTTGGGCCTGGCTGTGCCATTCGAGAGCAGGTTCTTTTTTTTTTTTCTAAACTTGATCTTATTTTTTTCCTTACCATCACACACACACTAAATCCAGAGTAAATCCACTGCTTACAGCACAAGATACTCATCTCAGGCCGTGCTACCCAACAGCCAATCAGTCTGAAGGATATCTATGAGAATTAGGAGTAAATGCAGCTCATTCGGTCATGAGGGAATTAACAGTCGGCTGGAAAAGGAGATTTAAATCCGAAGCTACCTATTAGATATTTTAAGTGCTTATCTTTTGAAAACTTTATGAATAATTTTCATCATCTTGCAACAGAATTGCTGGGAGCTTCTACATCCTCCTCCTACATGATTAGGACTCTGAAGTACACTTAAGTTTATGCAGCGTCTGATCAGACTGGCAGCTTTGGGATAATAAATGAATTAGCCCGCCAGAGACAAAGATCATCAGGCAAATTTTGTCCAAGAGGAAATCATATGAACAATGTGCGGTCTACCGACGTGAGACTAAAGTTAAGTTCTTCAAAGTCTGAATGTGTTCAACCTGAAATTGTACTGGTGTCTGCTTTCTACACCTTTAATACGACTGTAACTTTTTCAGTTTTTAGGCCACCCAGCATTGAGTTACATTGTGTAAAGAGCCAACAGCTCCTGTGCCTACACAGAGCAACATGTCATGAGAAGTTATCATGGCAGTGGATCTGTTCGCCAGCACAGGCCGGCTTAATGCAGTGCAACGCTGTGCGGCCTTAGGGTTAGGGATTTATCCCATTATCACCTGCTCCCGTCTCTCCCTCCTCGGCTTTGGCACAACTTATTTCTCAGTTTGTGCTCTAAAGCTGCTGCAGGAGGAGGAATAAAATGACACTGAATAAAAGTGGTGCCAGAATGGAGCCTTGAGGAATCCCACATTAGTTTTACTGGCTCAAATTTATAATTGCCCGAAAGCAAAAACACAAAAATTTGTCAAATACAATATCTTAACCATCTAGACCAGTATCAGACAGTCCATCAAGTCAGTAATACTTTGTTTGGGTCAACAAGATTACCTGTCAATATTTATTTGCCGTCACTTTTTCTCAATTATTACCACTAGTGTGTGTTTTTGCAGGCTAGATATGATTTCCTACATCTAATGAAATAAACTATTTCATCTATATACACTCTTTTTTCCAATAATAAAACAATAAATTACTTATTAAAAAGTGAAAACCAATTTCTGTTTACATTTTGACTGTGCAGGACTGTTCGTTCTTTTTTTCTATAAATCTACGTCTACCTGCTTAATTACATGGACTAACTCATGCTGAATCATTTCAGTAAACGCAATTAACAATAACTGCATTTCTAGAGTTTGCACAGCTGTGTTCCACGGTTCCCTAAATGAAAGCGCTTTTTGTAATCATCTGTGAGACGGATGATACAATTCCTATTTTTTGCCGTCTCAGAATCGTCTTACTTCACCATGTCCTCATTTCTAGTGTTGATAGTAGGCTGAACTAACCATCTGCTGGCTGTTTATTATTCAGAGGCTAGATAAAAGAGCGGTATCAACCTTTTCATCTAAATTTCAGTAAGAGCTGATAAGGTAGCACTAACGTCCATGTGTCCATTGCTCATGCTGCTTTATCTCCTTTTCTCACAGTGGCCATGGCTATTAACCATGCAGCTGGAGCCAGATACGCCCATCGTTTCCGTCTGTCAGAGAAAAGTCTCTTTGGTGCTACTCGCAGTGCAGGCCGTCTGAATATGCCAGCGAAGCACAAGAAAACCCTGCGGACTGCTTAATGCTCTCTGTAAGTACAAACACTTCACAGCAACAGACTGTTAACTCGCGACACTCAGACCAAGTCGAGTCCCACTAGAGATCAACTCAACCTCATCTTTAATTTTTAAATGAATCTTTTCCCAATTAGGCTCTTGTTCTCAAAATATTTAAGGCATCCACAACATCTCTACGTACACAATCATGCAAGATTTTAGGTCTAAAATAGCAACATGTTTATGATGATGAATAATCTTTGCTGCACAGTTCATTTCAAGAGTCATGGATGTAGTTTTGTACTTCAGCTTTTCTCCACCCCAATTCTGCTCTTTTATGCACTTAGCCTGTAAGTGGTTTCCTGGAATCACTATTAAGGCATGTGTGTCACATCAACCTGGCCCTTAAAAGCTGTTACAAGAGCTCATCCCGATCAGTAGATGCAAATGAGCTCTTTATCATTAGATGTAAAAGTGAGGTGGAAATCCTAAAGGTTTCTTATGTGCTAAACAGAGAAAAGCTTGATGTGAGAATGCAACCAATGCATTCTCACATCAGATATTTTCTTTTTTAATGTTAACTTTCTTCCACAAAACATGACAAATTGCTGCTTACCACTCAGGCCAAACTCTGTAATGTTTTAGGTTCAGAATTTCATCCCGAGTGCTGTTAAAATGAGTGTAATATTCCCAATATAACATATTCTAATAGAGTAAGCAGCTCCCAAACATTTTGTTACCTTCTCTCTGGAGGTCAGCTGGGGCCTCTCCCAAAGTTCTGCTTTAATTAGTCAGTTGATGGTTCAGAGATCTGCTTGTACTTATTTTAAGAAGAGCCAAACATTTCCAGTGGGAAAACATTTCAGAAGTGTTACTTGCTGATGTTAGCAAGTGAAAGTGGAAAAGTCCAGCAAACAAACAAGCTATTTTAGACTCGTCGGGTGTGGTTTCACTGGCGTATGGGGGATAAGACTCCCTTCTCGATTTGGGTTTTGTTCCATTCCCGGTTTCTGCATAACAACTTGCATATTAAAAATAAACACCTGGAAGAAAAACAGTCCCTTTAAAAGCAAGAACAGAATATGCCATGAGCATTTCTAGTGATTTATATTCTTTTAACTGCTTTCGGTTACATATTTTTATTCAAAATCGACATGTTCCCTTGATGTCGATATTAATTCGCAAAAAACTCAAAGACTATATTTCCTCCAGCTTGGATCATTTAGCATTTTTGCATATGCTCCTGACACTGTGCATCAGGTTGAGCTGTTTCAAAAGCCATCAGATCAGATGTCACTCTGCTACACCAGACAATCTCTGCAGACAAAAGGGAACACCATGTATAGCTATGAGCAAACACTTGATATGAACAACCTCACTTCTCACTGGAGGATCATGTCGTGTGTGGACTTTATCAGTACATGTGGCATCTGCACGTACACACACACACACACACCGTTTGATGCTGTTCCACCAACAACACTGTCAAGAGCGCTCCCTCTTCATCATACTGATGCTGTCCAGAGTCATATCTCAAATGGAGCTGCTGCTCTTTGAACTGAGATTTTATGTAGTGTGTGTGTGTGTGTGTGTGTGTGTGTGTGTGTGTGTGTGTGTGTGTGTCAGTTTTTTTTTTCTCACTGCATATCTGTGTCTCATTTGCAGTAGGGTTAATGTCACTTGTGTACGTGTTGTTGAATCTGAGTGAAAAGATTAATCTAATTTTTACCAGATTTATATTGGTATTTTTTTCAATGATAACCCAATGAACTGTCTGACTAGTTCAGCCTCTAGCAAATAGAAACTCTTGGCAAAGACTAACACAAGAGAGCAGTGCCTGCATATGAAGGCAAGAGTGGAGAGAAAACAGTCAGAAACTATGATGGGGCTAAGTACTCAAGAGAAGAGACACAGAAATGTCTCAGAATAGGTTCACTGCACACTCACTCTTTATCTGGTAGCCAATGCATATGCTCCATTTCACCAAACATCAGCCTGTTGCAGCATGAGGGAGCTAAGTACACTCCTAGAATTGATAAATATACATGTCCTAAATCTCCAGGGCAATTAATACAATCGTTTTCTGAGCTAAGCTCCCGAATTCAACTCGGTCGACGCTCTCTACAGTCTTCTTGGATGTTAAGGTGCATTAATTTTAAGGTACGTTAGTCAGAGGCTTGCTTTTTATGGATTGGAGCTCTCTTGAAGTCAACGATGGGTCATGCATTGGGATTTCTCAAAGCTTCTGGGAGTTATATTTGTTGCAGGAGAAACATGTTCAAAAATATAAAACAATATTGGGCAAATTGTAAAAAAAAAATGCTTAGAATTCTCTTCGTACCTCTTCAGAAATATTCTAGTCCACTTTTCACAGCAGCACACCAACACTCAAGACTAGACATTGACTGTTTATTTCTCAGTGTTGTCAGTTTCCCCAGTGCATTTAGGTCCAGACTAAGAAAGTCACTTAAG